TCCCCTGGCCCTGCTGCCTCCCACCACACTTTCCATCCTGTGGAGGAAATATTCCCCAGCATGGAGTTTGTCTCATTGTGTTTTCACCCTTCACGGCCTAGCTCCGTGCCAAGAGGCCGGGCAGGAATTTTGGCTGGGCCAGGGCCGGGCTCTGCTTTCGGGGAAATGCTGGGATGGAGATCCCAGAGCTGTGGGATTCCCAGAGCCCCAGGGAAGGGCTGTTACCCCAGCCCACAGAGGGGAAACTGAGGCAGGGTTATCCCTGCGATGCTCCCACAGGAAGCCTCAGTGCCCCGGCCAGGGCCCAGCGCTGTGCGGTGACAGCCGCGGGAAGCGACCCAACCTGACAGGGGCCAGAGGGCACCAAAACCAGCCCCGAAACCTCCGTGCCAGCAAAGGAGCTCAGTCCCAGCCCTTTCCGCAGCGGCACACCGAGCTGCTCTGGCCAAATAAACAGATGGGAAGAAAAACAAGAGGTTTTGCTGGCGGGCAGAAAAGCGCCGGATGCCTCTCGCGTTAAACGCCGGCATTGAGCCGGGAGGAATGCGGGGTCGGAGCAGCCGTGATTTACCCCCGCGCATACAGAGGATGCCGTGGGCAGCACAATTCCCTCTGCACCTCATTTATTGCTTTTCCAGCTTCATTTTTCCTCCTCCACTGGGTTTCCCACTCCTTCCCCCTTCCCCCTGCCTCTCTTGGCTCCTGCTCGGATCTGGCATCCTGCAGTGCCCAGCGTGGAGCTCCAGCCTCCCCAGGGCCAGGTCCAGCCCTCAGAGCCCAGCCCGGCCCCAAAATGGGGCAGTAAAAAGGATAAAATGAAAATATCCAAGTACAAAATTGGCAGTAAAGCATAAAGCAAGCAGCAAACTCTCCTCAAGGGAAAACATGTGTTGTGTATCAAACCCACCAGGATCTTATCACAGCCAGATCATTCTATACACACACACATATAGATATTTATATTTAATTATGCTCCAAAGCCCACAGCATTCTTTGGAAACTTTTTTTTTGGCAAGGAAAAGCACATTGTGGTCAGCAGAGGCACTGAACACTCAGCAGCAGCTCATCCTGGCTGGTGATATTTGAAAAGGTGTTATTGAAACAAAATTGGAAAGGTTTTAATTACAAGCAGATGTGGCAGGAGCTTTGCTTGAGAGGTTTGGGGGCTCGAGGGGTTTGGGGGGGCTCAGGGGCTGAGATTTCAGTGCTGAGCCCTATGGGATGTCTGGTNGGGATTGCAATGGGTTCGTGTTCACAGGAATTCTGCTCTTCCTTTGCCTCCAGAGAAGCCTGAAAGGAGCCTCTGCCCTCACAGCGCCTCCGGAGCAGTAAGTGCTGTTTCTGCCTTGGGATATCTGCCATTCCACATTCCCATGGATGTGTGGGTTGAGGGATCCTGTTTGCCTGTCTGGAGGCAGCAATAGGCAGGGAAGGGAGCTGCTGGGGCTGCTCTGGGAAGAGGAGGCAGCTGTCCCCTCTCCTGCAGGAAGAGCCTTGGTCACTGGGCCTGGATCCAAGAAAGCTCTTAAGCACATATGTGATTTAATCATGTTTTTAGCCCCACTGACCTCTTCAAAAGCCAAAGTTAAGCACATGCCCAAGTGCTTTGGTGGATCACAACCTGAGAAAGGCCTGTGAGACACCACCAATTTGGGATGGCCCTGTTTTTTTCCTCCTTCCCAGTGCAGGAGTTGGGCTGGAATCCTTTGGTGCCACCGTGCTGACACCGCCCTGGCCTCCCAATAAACCCTGAAATTCCTAAATTTTGATGGGTCTCTTCCCGCGCTCCATTATCCTGCTAAAACTCAACCAGCTATAGAGGGGTGGAACAAAGCACAGGAGAAACCTGAGCTGGGGTTTCCAGCCCTTTAGAAGACATGGTCACCTAGAAAACATGTCAGATATTCCATTAGCTGGATGCCAGCACTGAGGAGTGGGTGAGTGCCAGAGCCCCTGGGCTCTGGAGAGGTGTCTTGAGCCCCAACCAGGCTCTGCCATGTGTTCCACACTGAAAATAGCAGTGTTCGTGAGGAAATGCAGCAATTTGGGCAGGCACCACAGGAGCAGGGCATGCAAGGTCCAGAACCTGAATTTCAGTGATGCATCTCATCATTTGGTGTTTATTTTAACTGCCATGAGACCCCACATGCTCCAAATTCTGCTGGGTTAATTTGTGTGTANTGTGTGTGTGTGTGTGTGTGTGATAACAGCTGTGTGTGTGTGATGACAGCTGTGCGTGTGAGTGTATGTGATTACAGCTCTTTGTGTGCGATAACAACTCTGTGTGTGTGTATCAACAGTTGTGTGTGTGTGTCTCTGTGTGTGTGTTTGTGTTTGTGCAGAGCTGGTTTTGCTCCAGGGCAGTTCTGCACGGTTGTTGTGCACACGTTTGTGTGGAGCTGTGAGTGGTGAATGGCTGTGCACTGCTCTGTGTGGTGTGTGTGTGTGCAGGCTGTGTGTGGCTGTTGTGTGCAGGGGTGTGCTGCTGTGTGCTGTGCACGATGAGCACGTGTGTGTGCTGTGAACAGCTCTGTGCGTTGTGCACAGCTTGTGTGGATGTGCAGTTGTGTGAGCTGTGAGTGACTGCAGCTCTGTGTGTGTTGTGCACAGTTTGTGTGGATGTTTGCACAGACGTGCAGTTGTGTGGGGCTGTGAGTGATTCCAGCCGTGTGTGTGCAGCTGTGTGTGACTGAGCACGCTGTGTGCAGCGGTGAATCGTGGTTCAGCTGTGCACAGCCAGTTGTGCATGGCTGTGTGCGCCTGTACTGTGACACACAGCTCTGTGTGGCTGTGCAGGGCTGTGCACACTCCTGTGAAGGGTTCTGATGGCTGCACGTGAGATTGCACAGAAAAACACAGCTGTGTGAAGCTATGGGTGTTGTTGTGCAGGGCTGGGAGTGTCTGTGTGTGTGCTTGTGCAAAGGTTTGTGCTGCTGAGCACGGTCCTGCAGGGCTGTTGCAGCTGTCCTGGTGTGCATGGGTGAGCAGGGTTGTGTGCATGGTGCCCAGCTGTGTGCAGGTATGCATGGCTGGGTGTGCATTGCCCTGTGCAGCTGTGCCCAGCTGTGTGCAGGTGTACATGGGTGTGCATTGCCATGTGCAGCTGTGCCCAGCTGTGTGCAGGGCTGAGTGTGCATTGCCATGTGCAACTGTGCCTAGCTGTGTGCAGGTGTGCATGGGTGTGCATTGCCGTGTGCAGCTGTGTGCAGGTATGCGTGGGTGTGCATTGCCATGTGCAGCTGTGCCCAGCTGTGTGCAGGTGTGCATGCCCTGCACAGGTGTTGGCGCTCCTGCTCGGCTGTGCATGGATCTGTGTGTGGTTATGCTTTGGTGCACAGTCCTGTGTGGGGTGNCTGTAACATCAGCCACATCTGTATCAGAACAATATTTCCACTCAACAGATTTTCTATATATGTAACCAGTGCCTTTATTAATAAGTAATAACATGCAAATAACTGAAAACTGCTCATATACCTAAAATGGTCAGTTTGGATGTGTAGATGTAGATGTGAGTTTATGCATTTATGTGTGTGTATGCATGTCTGCATTCATGGAGACACATATAGATTTATGTATCTGTATGTGTGACCTGTGTGGAGCTGTGTGGTCCCTGCAGGGGCTGGATTTGGTGTCTGGGCATGATCCATGTGAGCTTTTCTCTGGCAGGCAGCTGGATGAGGAGGGCTGGGCAGAGATCAGGAGGAAGCTCCGGGAATTCACACTCAACACCCAGGTGAAGGCTGGAAGAGCCACTGGAGGCCAGGCTGATCTCTCACCCCCAGGCAGGGATGTGCTGCCTCAGCCCTGCCCTGGGGCTGCTCCAGTCTGAGGGGGAAACTTCCATGGAGTCACAGAAATCCTGTGTGGGAAGGGAAGGGACCCCCAGGATAACCCAGCCCAGCCCCTGGCCCTGCTCAGACACCCCAACAATCCCACCCTGGGCCCCCCTGGAGCAGTGTCCAAACCCTCCTGGAGCCCTGGCAGCCCCGGGGCCGTGCCCATTCCCATTGGGGATCACTCTCCATGGTGCCTTGCTGTGGCCTCAGCCCTCCCAGCTGGTGCTGTCTCCAGGCTAATTTACTGTCCCTGCTCCTAAAGCAAGGAGAGAAGCCCCTTGGCACTCCTGCCCACGTTTCAGAACAACCTTTTGGCATCTCTGGAATAAACTGGGGCTGATTGCTGCCCTGTGCTGGCACTGCTGGGACATCTGCAGTCCTGAGGGCAGTTCTGGCCCCCTCATGACAAGACAGACACTGAGGGGCTGGAGTGTGTCCAGGGAAGGGAACAGGGCTGGGAAGGGTCTGGAGCACCAGGAGGGGCTGAGGGAGCTGGGAAGGGGCTCAGCCTGGAGAAAAGGAGGCTCAGGGGGGCCCTTGTGGCTCTGCACAGCTCCTGACAGGAGGGGACAGCCGGGTAAGGGTTGGGCTCTGCACCCAGGGAACAGGGACAGGAGGAGAGGGAATGGCCCCAAGCTGTGCCAGGGGAGGGTCAGGTTGGACATAGTGAAATTTCCTTCATGGAAAGGGTGGTCAGGCCCTGGCACAGCTGCCCAGGGCAATGGTGGGGTCATCACCCCTGAAGGGATTTATAGGACATGTGGATGTGGCACTTGGGGACACGGATCAGTGATGGCCTTGGAAGTGCCAGGTTAACACCTGGATCCACGTGAATTCCTACACAATTCCACGATTTTTTGATTCTATTTGACCTGGTTCAAGTCTAGGCTGAATCTGAATCAGCTTCCCAGGCTGGTTCCTGCTGGCTGCAGGGATATTCCCTTCCATGTCCTGGATATTCCCTTCCATGTCCTGGATATTCCCTTCCATGTGCTGCCTTTCCCTGTACACAGCAACCTGAGGGAGTGCTCCAACATTTCTTGGGGATGCAAAGTTCATTCTTTGGGGGTGTAAAGCTTGTTTCTCGAGAGTGTAAAGCTCCACACCTGCACGGGGCCTGCCTCTGCGGCCAAAAGAAGGGAGAAGTCATGGCAGAGAGGTTGGAGTGATGGGGAAGTGGTTGGAAGATCAGACTCACACAGCAGAGAGAGGCTGAGCAGCATCATTGCCATGGCAGTTATCTCTTTTTTTCTCTTTTTTTCCACGTTTTCTCCATGTTGTGTGCCCTGCAGGAGGAGCTGGAGCAGCAGAGGAGCCAGCTGCTGACCCGGGCTGTGGTGGCAGAGGAGCAGGTGCTGGAGCTGCAGGGCTACATCGACCAGCACCTTGCCAGGTGACAGGGGGGGACAGCCCCCTCCAGGCTTGTGCCAGTGCTGGCCCGTGCCCACTGCTGGCCCTGCCACAGCACTGCCCATGTCCCACTGCTCCTGCAGCTGTGCAGGCAGCTGCCACCCTCTCTTGTGCCACAGGGCAGCAGGACAGACGCTCCCCACACACCACAGGTGTCCATCCTGTGAGCTCGCCCATCCTTGGGAGGAATCACAGTCATGGAAAGGGTTGGAAGTGACACAAATGTTCATCCAGTGCCACCCCTGCCATGGCAGGGACACCTCCCACTGTCCCAGGCTGCTCCCAGCCCTGCCCAGCCTGGCCTTGGGCACTGCCAGGGATCCAGGGTGGGCACCCTGTGCCAGGGCCTGCCCACCCTCACAGGGAACAATTCCTAATTCCCAATATCCCATCCATCCCTGCCCTCTGGCAGTGTGAAGCCATTCCCCATGCCCTGTCACTTTATGCCATTGTCCAAAGTCCCTCTCCCACTCTTTTGGCGCCCCTTTAAGCACTGGAAGGCACTCTAAAGGTTTCCCTGCAACCTTCATAGGAACCTAAAACCCAAAGCTGAACCTAAAGCCTAAAATCTTCAGAGTTCTTTTATTCCCAGGTTGTAACCTCAGTCCTCCCAGCTGCCCCTGGTCTGTGCTCCCCTTCCCTGGCTCATCCTGCCCTGGAGCAGGGAGAGCAGCAGGGAGGGACAGGACCAGCAGGGCAGGGGTGGCAGGGCACGATCCCCCTGCTCCTGGGCTGGGTCAGGCTCTGCCCCTGCCTGGCACAGCCCATGAACACCTTTTCCTTGGGCGAGGCTGCGGGATCTGGGTGCCAGGTCAGCCCCTGGCATGGCTCATTGCCCAGGGAGCAGTGTGGGGGTGCCAGTTGTGGGTTTCTCTGAGTCTGGACTGAAGGCACTTGAGATAGTAATTCATGTTTGGACTCAGGTATTTATTATTTCTTACCATTAAAACAGTTTCACTACTGTGAGTTCAGCAACAAGGCACAAAATGGCCAACAATCTCTTGGTACAAGGTCTCTTAAGACTAAACTATCCAGTTAAGAGCTGACACCTGGATTATTTTCCCTTTTAACCCAATATCTGATCCCACAGAGCCCACAATGCAGACTTTTCTGCCCAATTACAAAATGCCACCCAAACCCATGAAGAAGGAAGAAGGAGCATGAAGAAGAAACCCAGGACAACACCCTGTGCCCTCCATCTTGCTTCCATCCACAACACACTAAAAATCCCAAAACCTCAATTTCTCACCAAGTGACACACCTACACTACTCTCTATAATCTATTT